GGTAGTTTCGAACTGCTGACCTTAGGGTTCGCAGCCCGATTCGTAACCACTACGCTACCATGTTCTGAGTGCCTACTAAACACCAGACCTGAGCTTGACACCTGGGGTACAAGGTATGACATACAGGCTTGCATATAGTCTAGCAGGGGAGACAGATATGTAAAGATGTTATTGTTGTTAAGTGCCATTAACTCTGTTCTAACTCATGGCGATCCTGTATAGGGTTTCCAAGGAGTGGCTCTTGGGTTTGAACCGCCAACCACATGATTCAAACTGAACTTGTGGTTCAGTGCTTATCCTACAGTGCCATACCAGAACTCCTATGTAAATACAGAAATGCATAATTGATTCTCTAAAACAGAGACTGACACATTTTGGATTAAGGACCAAATCTGGTCTGCCATTTTTTTGTGTGTTGTTGTTGTTTTTGAGTGTGAAGATTCCTTTATTTTCATTACATGCTGAAAATAAAACATGATTATCACTATACAAGCTTTTTTTTTAAAAAAAAGTTTTTATTGTGACTTGAGTGACAGTTTACATGGGAGAACATCGGTTTTACATTCATCTTATTGTATTTCTTTCATTGCAATGATTACAATCCCCTCCGTGCATCCTGCCATTTGTTTTTATATGACCCATAAGCTAAGAATGTTTTTCATTTTTAAGTGGTTAAATTTTAAGTGGTTATGTAAGTATCTACATAATATTCTCAATTTGGCCTTTTGGCTAGCACACAGTTTAAAATATTTACTATCTAGTGCTTTAAGAAAAAGGTTGCTGAACTTTCCTCTAAAGTATATAGCAAGGGCTTAGAGAAAAGAAGAGGTGACTTTTTTTTTTTTTACTACCAAGGCCAAGAAAGAGTTCGTGGACAGATGCCTGAGCTGGTGAGCTGGGTTTTGAATGAACTGGAGTTTTTTGTTGTGCTTTGTCTTTTGAGATAAGCACAAGGGCATTTTAGATTGGGAATAGCATACATAGAGACTCAGAGGTTGCATAAACTTACTATCTTGGGGAACTGCACTTAGTTTGGTAGAGATGACATAAAAGGTCCACAGTAGGGAGCAAGAGAGAAGGTCCTGGGAGGTAAACAGTGTTGGAATCAAAGGGGGTCTATGTGCCATACTGCTGGTAGTGGTGATTGTGTGCCAGCAAGTCGGTTTTGACTCATAGCGACCATGTATAGGGTTTCTGAGGCTGCAAGTTTTCACTGGAGCAACTGGTGAATTCAAACTGCCAAACTTGTGGTTAGCAGCCCAATGCGTAACCTACTATGTCAGCCACAAGGACTAGTGTCTTGCTAAGGAGTGGGATTTTATCCTGTAGGCAATGGAGAGACTGGAACTCAGCTGGGACATGTAGCTCAGAAGTGAGAGACACCAGTAAGAGCTAGAGAAGGTCTGAGTTCAGTCTAGGGCTGGCTTCATGGGTGTGCCACCTGTATAGCTGCACAGGGTCCTGCACTTAGAAGGGTCTGATGCATGCATGGTTTAAGGTATTGCTTTTACAGTCTTGAAATTCTCATATGTCTTGAATAAGGGGTCCTGCATTCTCATTTTGTACTGAGTCCTGTAAATTATGTAGCCAGTCCTGGTTAGGGCAGTAGTTATGGGAATGGAACACAATGACTATGATCCATCGGTTGTTAAGAGGTCAAAGAAAATTTATTTAGTGACTCATTAGATGAAGAGTTAGGATGAGGGAGGATTTAGAATGACTACCAATTTTCCAGGTGGATGGTAGTACTCTTAATCAGGCTAGGGAATGTAGGAGGAGGGACAGGCTTGGGGTAAACGGTGGTGGTGGTTGTGGGAGCAGAAATCCTTATCTTTCTCCCACAGAACAGCTGGTAGTTTTGAACTGCTGACCTTGAGGTTAGCAGCGCAACTCATAACCACTATGCTACTAAAGCTCCTTGGGGTAACAAGTGAATTCAATTTTAAACTGCTGGTTTCAGGAACTGTGGAGACATGCTTGTATCCCAGTCCCAGTAACCCCAGTATCTTCTAGTCCCTATCTCTCTCCCCACATGTGACCCCATCCACTCTCCTATAAGGTCACTCTTGCTTCTCATTTTTCTGGATCTGAAGTCCCTGACTTGTTTTGAGCTACACTGAGCTGAAGAACACTCAACAAATCAAACTCATTTTGTGGGTTCCATTTCTGAGCCCATAGTGAAATCCCATCCCCAACCTCACAATTGGCAAACCCAGGAGGCCCCTGTCCCCTCTCCTTCCTCTTTAACAGTCCTCATCCCATCCACCCTCCCCCTTTCTTCTGCAAGACTGGAAGTGGGTAGAGAGGGGGAAGTGAGCTAGGATGATGCAAGTCAGGAGGACCCCACAAGAGGCTGGGTTCTGGTCTGGGCTTTCTCAGCTGAACTGTCTGCCCATCAGTAGGGGGAGGGTTGCTGGAGGCTCTTGGTAGTGTGTAGTTGAACTGATTTCTGGGCATAAAGTGGTTTCTCCTTGCCCCATACACTCCTGTGAGAGGCACTATTCCAGTTCCTTATACTTACTTGTATATACAAGTAGGTTTCAGAAAGTTTGTGGGAAGATTCCATTATCTTAATTTTTCCACAACCTTTCGAAAGTTCCCTTTCATGAGGGATCAATAATCCTTCAGACCTCTCACCCAAACTTTTTCTGAAAATGAGGAAACTAGGTCCAGAGAAGGCAAGGGACTGACCCAAGGTCACTATTTATATAGGTCGAAACAGAGTCTAGAGCACAGATCATTCATTATTCCTGGTCCCATTTCATCCAGAGGCACAAAAGCTGGATCCAGCTAGCTTTGTCTCTAGAACCAGAAGCTATACCACAGAAGCTTCTCGGTTTAGGGGAGACTGTTTTTGTGTCTTTGGTGCCGCCTTGTGGAGTTGCGGCAAAATTTCAACTGCCGCTGCAATAATCTGAGGCTCCAAACGATTCCCTGGGGCCGTATCTACTCTAGAGCTGGGAGGAAGTGGGGGTGAATGCTCACTTTGCTTGATGGTATCATGCCCCTTCCCACCCAAGTTTTCCCACCCCCTCCTCCCTCTGGCCCCCTTTCTTGTGTACGGGTCACCCTCACAATACAGATACATCCCCAGATCGAACAGCAGAAAAAGATGGTGAAAGTCTGAGTCTATGGGGCGGAGGGCAGAACGAATCCAGACTTTTATTGTCAGAGAGAGGGAAAGGAAAAGGATGGAGGAACGAGGCCTGGGGCTGCTACATTATCAAGCAGAAAGAGGTGATGGGAACTGGAAGACCCTCCCCGGCTGCTGGAAGGGCTGACGATACAGAAATCACAGAGAAGGGGGGGTCACGCCCCCGCCACAGTTGTGCAGTGGAGGTGTAGGGTGTGGGTGGGGACGGCCATGAAGTCTAGGAGCTGGGGTGGGGAAGGCTACAGACTCGCGAATCCTGCGGAAAGGGGAGGGGCGGGGGCGAGGCTTCTATTGCTTTTTGCTCACAGTTTTGCGGAAGGCGAGGTGGGGGTGGGCTTGGACTGGACACCCCGTGCCCCCCTCGGTACCCCTAGGGCGATGGGTGCTGGTGAAAAGAATGGAACCCGGATGGGGGAGGAAAAAGGAAAGGGAGGGTTATGAGGACATCTCCTTGGTCCCACCCAAGTGCCAGAGATGCCCCCAAGTGCTGCTCCCTGCGATGTGCCCGGCTAGAGCTGGGGCTGGGGCATGATGCGGGGCGGGCACAGTGAGGTCGCAGGCAGTAAAACCAAAGTGCTTGTGAGGGACTCAGGATCCCACCTGCCTCCCTCCCCCTGAAGAGGTTGGGATGGGGGTGTTCACGGAAGCGCTTCAGTTTGGGGGTAGGGGGCCGGAGTCCCAGAGTCCGCTTATTGCCAAGAAAATCCATTTCTGCCCCTGGACCCCGACCATGGCTTGTGAACCCCGTTTTGTGCTAGGTTTGAGGGGGAAGGGTTGGATGGACATGGCTTTTGGGAGGGGGGGTGTCTCTAAGGGGGCTCGAAGTGAGACGGCCCCCCCTTTTCTAGGGGAGAGGGAAGGGCAGGGGGCGGGGTTCCCTGAGATCTGGGGTATCTCCCCTTCTGAAGCCCCCCTCCCCCACTGCTCCTCCCCATTCCTGGAACCCCGTACCTCGGGGTGGGGGGGAAGGAGAGAGATCATTCAGGGAGTGCCAGGAGGAGGGGCGGGCTGGGAGCCCGGAGGCCTGGGTCCCGGCTGGAGGTGGGGGGTAGAATGGGAGGGGGTTCAGGGTTGAGGTCAGTAAGGGGAGAAGAGGATGGGTCCGTGCGCAGTTCGGATGGGCCCGGGGGCTGGATGGAGCAGGGGGTGCGTGATCGGAGGTCCCTGGAGAAGAGGTGCCGCTGGGGCCGGGCGCAGGGACAGTGGGGAGCCTGCTGCTGCCGCCATCACTGCAGCCACCGCCAGAGGGCTGGGGAGCAGCCCACCAGCCAGAGACTTGGGCAGCTCCTTAGAGAAAGTCAGTGTGCCCTGCGGAGGGGCGGGGGTGGGAAGAGAGAGAGATAGAAGTCTTCTAGCAATCCTCAGAAGAACACCACCTTCTCGGGTCCTTAGCCCAGTCCCTTCTCCCCGCCCTGGTCCTCCCATCCCTGAAGTCCCCAGAGCACCCGGCCTCACCGCCAGCTCTCCAGCACCCCTAGGCTTCTTGTGACGGCTCAGTAGCGGGTTGGGCTTTCCAGCAACGCCGTCTCGGTGCCGCCGGCTGGAGATGTGCTGTGGAGGTACGAGTGCGATGGGGAACTAGTAAACCACCCGGAAAGGTGCAACGTGGAGGGAGCAGGACCTTAGTGGCAATAATCACTGGACCCCGCCCTCTTAACCAACACACCCCCAACACCCATTCCAGAAATTCCACTCAAGCTCCCTGTTCTCCCTGTCCCTTTGAGGGTAGAGCTCCCTAGATCTGCTGGGAAGGACCTGGGACCCACCTGTTTCAGTTGGACCTCTGAGTTGACCTTGACATTGCAGATCTCACAGTGGAAGGTTCGGTCCTGGGCAGGGGCTTCTGACTCCCCAGGGGTGGGAGGCCCCAGGCGAGGATAAGCTTTGATAGGACCCAGCCCACTGCGTGCCTCTAGAATTGTCTTGTGCTTAGTACCTGGAGCCCACAAAACAGTAGGTCAGAAAGAGGTGGAGGAAAATTTCCCCAAATTCCCCATTACAGTGTACTGAGTGAGGACCACTTCCCATTACAGTGTAGGGTTGTTGTGGTTAAGTGCTATCAAGCTGGTTCCCACTCACAGTGACCCTGTATAGGGTTTCTGAGGTTCAAACGACCTTGTGGTCCAGTGCATTACTCTGCAGCACTACACCAGGAGTGAGGACCATTCCCCATTACAGTGTAGGGAGTTTGGATCAAGGGGGGGGGGCACGGTGGTTCGGAACTCTTTGGAACCCTCCCAAACAAAAGGCCAGTCAGGGGAGCTGAGATAGTGACAGCCTAAGGAATAAAGAAGATACAGATACGTTGGTAGGTCTTACAGGGTCCAACCAAAGTTGGGGTGTAGGGGAACAGGTCGGCTGAGGACAGGGGTGTGGGTGGGCACAAGGAATCCATACCTTTGTTATGAGCCTCAAGTTGGGACAGGGAGTTCACAGCCACCTTGCACAGAGCACAGTAGAGCAGCCTCTTGGCCTTTTCCTCTTCTTCCTTGCTACCCCCAGGCAGGGAAGCTGGGGCTGGGGTCCCCCCTTCACCCTTGGCTGCACCCCGGTTAGTCTCCGGAACACTGGGAGGGGATGGGGAGCCAGGCTGTTTTTCTGGGGATCCTGGGTCTGGACCCATTCCATTCTCCATGGAAACTGTTGTTGGGGGAGAAACACAGGATCACCCCAGATGACTTTTGGAGGAGGTTCCTCAGCATGTAGAGAAGACCCACCCCCCTTTCCTGGAGGGCAAGGGCCCAGGAGTCCCCACCCTGTGACAACATTCATGTTCTCATGCCCTGGGTCAGAAACAGATGTAGTCCAGCTGCTGCAAGCTGGGTGTGAAATGCCAGTGCCTAGCTCAGTGCCCCTAAGCTGGGAATGGCCCAGGGACCCAGCCCCAGAGGCCTCCCCTTCAGGGTAAATCTGGCATTCAGCCCAGTCAGGGAGAGAGGCATGGTCTCCCTGCCAGTCTGAGTTTTCCGCCCAGCCCCCAGGAAAGCAGGCCAAAGAGCCCTAGGATGAGGCAGAAGCAGTGTGAGAAGAGGCCTGGAGAGACAGACACAGACATGGCAAAAGGAAAACTGAAACAACAGAACCCGAGAGGAAAGGAACAGGGATGCAGGCTGCTCTATAATTTATGGCTTGATTAAAGATGCACCGGCCCTAGGCCTCAGCGCTGGGTCTGGCCTCTGTACAGGGGAAACTCAAGTGCTCCCATTCTTGCTCCAGCAGACGATCCAGTTTCCGGGTCATGGGGAGGCTGGCAGTGGGGGTGGGGATCTGGTGGGCAGGGAACACTTGATCCCTAAAGATATCCATTTGCTTGACCATCTTGTGATTTTCCCCCTTATTTATTTTGATCATTTCTGTCAGCTCCCACGTTCATCCTAATCTGGACAGCATATCCTTCCTCAGGACAGGACTTCATGGTTTTTGAAAGCAGGGCAGAAGTTGCTGTCTCCCCAGAGATTCACGATATAGGACTAGGGTGGCGCTGGGGGATAAAGCACTGGATCGCAAGCTTGGTTTGAACCTTAAGGTGGCGGTTCAAATCCACCGGTCTCTCCTGGGAAACCCCATGTAGGGTTGCTATGAGTTGGAACCAATTTGATGGCACACAACATAAAATTGCTCCATGGGGCTTCCGAGGTATTTTTACAGAAGCAGTTTGCCCCATCATCTCCAGAGGAATGACTGGTGGATTTGAAATAATCCAATGCTTATCTCACTGCACCACCAGTGCTTCTTTGTAAAGCACTGTTGTTGTTCTTAAATGTTGTCGAGTCTGTTCCAACTCATAGTGGCCCTGTATAAAGTGTCTGAGGAGCAGCTGATGAGCTTGAACCTCTGACCTTGTGGTTCAAATCGACCTTGTGGTTCAAACCGACCCGCAGACTTGCAAGCCTGTAAATCTTTAAAGCAGATAGCCTCATCTTTCTCCCACGGAACAGCTGGTAGTTTCAAACTGCTGACCTTGAGGTTAGTAGCCCAATTCGTAACCACTACGCTACCAGAGCTCTTTAGGGGGTTAGGGGTGGCTCCTAAATTGGTGGTGCAGAAACTTGTTTCTCATTTTACTTAGGGTGGGATAGGAAGCACAGGCAAGGATTAAGAGGGAAAAAGGCATCTTGGGTCGCTCTGGAGTTGATCGTGAGTGTCATCTGGTGTGGTAATCCCAGGATGGGGAGCTGGCTCATATCTTCCTATCTCAAATACTTTTGCCCAGTTTCTTGGCTTAGAGTAGAGTTGAGGATGGCCACCAGCCATGAGGGAGGAAGAATCTCAGAGTTGCTCTTGGTAAACCTGGAAAGTCCTCCGAGATCTTAAAGTCTTATTCCTTTACTTCCCCGAAGAGAAAACTCAGAGGTCAAAAGATCTACTCAAGATCATCCAGGAAGTTCCTGAGTTTCCTGGAGCCTGTTTTCCCTGAGGAAAGCCCCAATGGGACAGGCTCTTACTTATCCTGACTCCTTCCCCAGCAACTCTGCCCAAGATGAAAGGGCCTCTCCCTGGATTTTGATGGTTTCCTTTTTCTTGGGGAGATTTGCCAGATGGCCTCACCCTAGCCCCCCTCTGAGTCACTGGGCAGTGGGAAGACAGACAGAAGTCTGTTGAGAGAAGGTGGGGCAGGGATGGGGGTGACAGGATGGAAATTTTACATCACTGTGCTTGGCTCCAGGACTCACCTTGGGTGGGGGTGGAGTAGGAATGGAGAAAGAGATTTGAACAAAGAGAAGTTCTGGGATACAGAGATAGAACAGAGGAGACAGAGTCCAGGTGAAGAATGTGGGAGGAGTCAGACATACCTGGATGGGGAGCTACTATGCCATCGCCATTTGGAGGGTTGCTGCCTGGGGGAGCTGGGTCTCCAGGTTCGCGGACACCAGGCTCTCTGCCTCGGGTCTTGGCAGCCTCAATGCCTTTGACTCGCCGGGCATGGCGATTACCCTTGTAGTGCGCTTCAGCCTGGCTCTTTAGGGATGGAGGAAGAAAATGGAATCTGAAATCCCCTTTCATCTGACCGTTGTCTCCCTACAGAGCTTCCCTCCCACCTTCAGGCCCAGCCCAGAGGTTGTCTCAGCAGGCTGCAGTAAATCTCTTCCTATACTAGTGAGATGTAAAGTCTCATGCCAAGGAGCCCTGGTTATTCCTGTAGCTCACATCAGCTTCTCAAGCTTGCGTAGCTGGGGATTTGGACTCCCACCTATCCCAGACTCTACTCCACCCCCACACTCCGGGCCTGGCTGTTAATTCAGGAGCCCCCCAACCCCCAGTCCCTCAGGTAGAATCCTAAACTGGGAGGAGCCAGCCAGGATTCTTTTGGACCTTAGGCCTCATGAAGCTGTGTCTGCTGCCCCTAGGATCCAGCCTTTGCTGTTTTCCCCACAGAATAAAAGTCCCAGGAGCTCTACTGTGACTACTGCCTCCTGGGTCTCATTTTCCCTGAAGCCTCTGTGGACACCCTGGAGGACCCTGGCCCCAAGCCCAGCTCTGAAGATAGAGACAGCTGTCAAAACAGAGCCGCTTGCTGGGGGAAGAAAAGGGAAAGCAAAAAGAAGGGAGGGCTATCTGTTATTGCTGCTTTCCTGGGCACCACCGGTCTGGTCTCCCCTCTACCAGCTGAGAGAACGAATACCTGGGTTCTGACCTAAAGGAGAGACCTGATGTGGGGTGGACCCTGGCTTCACTTCTCCGCCTCCTCTATTCTCATATGCAGCCCCTACTAAGAACATAAGGTAGCCCAAAGGTCACCCAGACAGGGTAGGCAGGAAAAGAAGGCTGACAGCCCATGGGTGGGGTGGTGGTATGTAGAGCCAGAGGACTAGCAAGAGGTAATATACACTGTACACTGGGTAGAGAAACAGAACATGCTTTATTTCCCCCTACTCAGCAGAAGCTCATTCTGCTGTTTTTCTTCAAAGTCTCTCAGAGCATGTCCCCCTATCCCCAACAATCCCCCTCTAGATCTATGCAGAAGTCCCAATGGAGTTTCAGAAAGAAGAAATCTAGGAGGTTGGACACCTGGGTTCTGGTTAGTTTCTCCCCAAGGAAGTGTCCCTTTGGAGGGGAGTAGGGACCAGGCCTTGTTTGTGGTTGGAAAGGAGTAGAGATGGGGTGGAAAAAGGAGGAAGCCAGAAGGTTAAAGGGAAGTGGGTGGGTCAAGGGAGGAGTTTAGCAGAGGCCAAGGAGGGCACAGGTTTTGCAGGGAGCCAATGACTATCTCAGTCCTGGTCCAAGGACCAGTGAGTGGGTCAGAGGCTACACTCCCACCCAGACACTAATGGCCATGGCTGTTTCCAGAAACTTTGTGCCAGGGATGCCTCAGCCCCTAAGGAAGGAAGGGCTAGGCTTGAGAGGATTTGGTCTATTTTTGGTAAAAATATACAGCAATTTCTTGCCCTTCTCAAGTACTTCCACCAGCCTCTGCCTTTTCTCTAGTGCCACCATTCTCTGCTCTTCCTCTAATATCCTCTTAGGGTTCTGCCCCTCACCCTCCTAACCTCGGCCCTCCCCCAAGTTCCCCTGACTGTCCCTGTCCACCTCCGCAGTTGGGTTGGTAAGCAGTTGGACTTCTTACCTGAGAATTGAATCGGATCTGACAGACATTACAGGAAATGATGGGCCGCTTGGTCTTGAGCAAGGGTCCTCCAAAAGTGTGGGACAGCACAGCCTTTTGCACAGGATCCATCTGTGGAGGCAGGCTGGGGTGAGCTAAGAGCCCCAGCCTGGACACATGTCCATCATCCCCCCACTGGCAACAGCTAGGTTGAACCAAAGTCCCCAGCCCTACTTCCCATTCCTCAATATAGCCAAGAGCTCAGTTCTCTGGTTCCTTCCCAGTCCCATCTTCATGGCACTGAATGGGACTTGATGGATCAACTGGCACAATGCTTCCATTTTAGAGAATACAAGTGGTTTGCCCAAGATCCTACTGAGTTAATAGAAGAGCTAGGACTTGAACCTGGAATTCCTGTCTTGGTCTATCGTACCATGAAGAGCCAACTCTGTCATCTAAGGCATCCAGGTGAGAGGACTCTCTTTGAACCCTTTTGGCCTCCAATCTGAGGCAAGGCTGTCTGCCAAGCCCAGTCTCTGATCCCAGGATATAGCTGTTCCCAGTTTCCTATTTCTGGACCCCACATCTTCGTAACACACTCCCCGTACCTAAGAGGAAATGACTTTATAGAACCAGTAGGGAATAAATGGAGGATTTAAACAAGTAGGCAGGCCTGAGGCAGCCCAGAGATCTGAACCTTCTCTTTGTGATCAACAGGGTTTGGGAAGGGCAGGGCTGTCAGACTGGACAGGGATTAGAAGTTCTCTCTGCCCCTACTCTAGGTCAGCAGATGTCTTACAGTCTTCTGCCAAGAGTTTGTATGGGGAGGGGAGAGAATGGGAGTTTCTCTGAGACCTTCTGTTATCAGGGGATGAAGTCCGGGGCCTAAAGGCATGAAAACTGCCTCCCAGAACAGTCCTCCTCCCTTTAGTCCCTAGGGGCCAGGGAGAGGCAAGTCTGGAATGCAGTTTAGGTTAAAGACAATTGAGTGATGGTTGAGATCTCTCATAACAATGGAACCAAATTTATGCTAAAACCTTATCTTCCTGATGGAAGGATCAAGTAAAAAATAGTTGCCTAGCACCTAGGGGTCCTTAGCTCCACAGCTGAGTCCCTCCTTGTGCCCGGACCTTCAGGGTTCCCTGCGAGACACAGGCCAGAGACATGAACACTGCAGGGGGAGGAAGGTGGTTAGAGTCTGGGAAACCCAGACATCCTGGCTCTCTGCTTCTCCCAAGTCTCCCTGGGTGACTGGGGTTAATGTTAGGAAAAGGACTTGAGTATCCCTGGGAAATGGTGAAGCTGGCCTCCACCCTCTCTGCCCCATCTTGGCAGTGGGTAGAGGCAGGAGTCATGATTAGGTTCAGATGACTAGCATTAACTACCATGTGACAGCCTCTTGGCCTGACCTTGTCTGGAGGCAGCCCCTCTCAGTGGCTTACTTTTAAATTCCCATCAGCATCCTTCAAGCCCGCCTTGAATCTAAGAAAAAGTCAAACAGGGGAAGCATGGGTGTGTCTGTGTGTGTGTGTCTAGGCAGGCTGTGATCAATCTGTGTATGGGTGGAGTGTGAATGAGTGTCATGTTCTGTGTGTATATCATTTATGTATCAACATTTCTGTGTTGGGGGCTGAGTGGTCAGGTTGTGTAATCTTCAGCTGTGTGTTTATCTGTGTGAATGTATGATGTGCTTGGCAGAAAGAAAGACAGACCGAGTTGGAGACAAGCTTTAATCAGGAGGGGGGTGACAGATTGCTGCTCTCAGTTCCCAGTCTTCAGACCTCAAGCTTTCCTATCCAATCGTCCCTATCTCATTCCAAACCTTTGTCCCAGGACTCTCCTTGCTCCTGGGCTCCTCACATGCTGGTATGGAAACACAGCCCAAACAGATACCCAGTCCTGGGCCAGGATTGGGTTGGGTGGAAACAGTAGAGAGAGAGGAATGGGATAGAGAAGGGGGAGCACATGTCCCTGGTTCTCTCAGTGCCCCTTCCTGTGACCCCCAGCCTGCTTCCCTCTGGGCTGAGACCCAGTGGGCTAACCATTCTAATATCCATCCTCTGAGAATGGTCCCTATCCCACTTGGATCCTTTCTCCTTAGTTTAAGTCCATAAGCACTAATAAGACGTGGGGGTCAGGGAAGGGACAGCAACCGAATCACTTGGCTTCTTCCTTTCCTCCAGGAACTGAGCCTGAAGGTGAGGACTCCTAGGCCCAATCCCTGCGCAGGTGGAATGTGAGCCACTAAGTGCAGTTCCAGGACAAGGTCAGGAGGCCCTGGTGACCTAGATGAGGCCTGTGGTGGCGTGGTGGAGTCCAACCAGCATCTCCCAGAGCCTATCCTACTCTAGAGCCCCTTTCCTGGGGTGTTGGCCTAGACACTGACTGGGAAGGTCCCCCCAGCAGTCTCCTCCCATCTGCCCTCCAACAGCAAACATGAAGGGGACTCACACCCTGAAGCTGGGGCAAAATGAATCAGGAAGGGCAAGGGGGAGGGAAGGGGGAAACCAGATCAGGAGCAAGGGTGGTGGGGCTATGATTATATTTCCTACCCTTGCCTTTATCTGATAGAACCGACAGCCCCATGTTTGACCACTTCACTTTCCCACCCCCCAAAAAATAAAGGCAAACAGGTAAGGGATGGGAAAACCTGAGGGGCAGGATGGACGGAGATAGGAAGGCAGGAAGAACGCAGAGGGTGTTTAAAGAGCTGGTAGAAGCTGGTGGCGGAGGGATGTTAGGAAGGAGAGAGAGGCTGAGATGGGGCCAGGGCTGGATAAGAGGGATCGGAGCAGAGGGGCGGCGTGGTAATTTGAGGGGAGATGTAGGACCTAGTAGGAAGCCTGCAGATTGGGAGACTCCAGGGATCTGGGAGGCAGAAACTGGGATGGATATAGTGACAGCAGTCTGGGGGCACCATAGGGGTACAGAGATCAGAAGGGGCCGTGCATGGTGTGGGGGATGGGCTGGATCACCAGAGGATGGGTGAAGAGAGAGGTAGCCAGTCCAGCTGGGGCGGGCGGGGATGCAGCGGCGGGAGCCAGGGAGAGAGGAGGGGCCGGGTGGCTTACCCTGCGGGACCCTGGAGGCCGCGGCTCCATGGCCCGGGGTGGCGGACCCGGGCGGGGAAGGGGGGGGCCGAGCCTGGCCAGGCCAGGCAGGCCGGGGACGCGGCGCTCGTTGCCCCGGCGGCTCGGGGCTTTGCGGCCAGGCCAGCTGGGAGAAGGGGCGGTGGTAGAGCGGCCCGGGCCGGAGCCCGCCCTGGAGGCGGGGCCGAGGGCGGGCTCAGGACGGGGGCGGGGATAGGGAGCCAGAGGGATGAAGAGGGACCAGGGAGGAAAAAGAAGAGGGGGTGTCCAAGTCCAGACAGTCTTTTCAGGAAAGATTTTGTCTGGCGGAGGGCGGCTCAACCTGGCGTCAGGGGAGCATTGACTAGATGACCTCAGCTGCTCCTCCTGGGGTCCCTCCTGGGTCCAATGCCCCACCAATCCCATGAACAACCCTGTTTCTATAGCTTTAACTTTTCCTTTCTTTCGTCCCTGCCGTCCTGACTTTCGTGCTTCTGCCTCTCTTTCAAGTCCCCAAATAATCCCTCTCCAGCCCTCTTTGCACACGACTCCTGTTTTGCTACCTTTTTTTTTACCTGTCTCTTTCCCCACTAGAAATGGGTGACCGAAATCAGGTGCCCATGTGTCCGGCACTGCTCTCCCAGTGACTCCTTTAAACGGTGGAGTTGGGTGCACCCAGAGTAGAAGAGACCTCAGACTGGGGACATTTAACCTTTTCCCACCTCTTCCCCTCATCCGCCACCTGCCGGAGAACTAACCTCCCTGAGAACCTATGCTTCGTGCATTTGCTGCCCTCTGGCGACTGAGTTGGGGCAGCACCGAGGGAAGAGTGCAGGAGGGTAATGCAGCCCACTCCCTGAATACCTCTATATCCTCTCTGGACAGGCACTGGGGTGTCCTCTGTCCACTTCCTTTCATCCCCTCCCACTTAACCTAGAACGGAGAAATAAGTGACGCCGGGGACTGGACGTCAAGAGAAGCTGGCTTTGGGAGACTGTGAGGGACATGCAAGGGCAGAGGGATAGCAGTGGAGTGAGTGGCAGGAGCAGGAGAAGAGGCAAGAGAAATGCAGGATAGCCTCTAAGAGGTAGGAACTGCTCATGTAGAAGATATGGGCAGGTAGTCCACCAGGAGAGAGAGCCTCTCCCGAGAGTAGAAAATAGTAATACTGCCACCACCTTATGTTGTGTGAACCTCTGGAATATGCCAGCCACAATACTGAGCACTTTCATGGATTATCTAATTAAAATTTCCCAACCACTATTTGAAGAAACAACTACTATTATCTTCATTTTATAGATGAGGAAACTGAGGTCTAGAGAGGTTAAATAATTTGCCCAAGGTCATAAATTAGTGAGTAGCTGAACTGGGATTTGAATTTAAACCCCAGTGAGTAGCCTGACTCCAAAGCCATGTACTTAACTGCTGCACCATACTGCCAATAGTCTGTCTGCAGCTTTTCTGCAGTCCTCATTCCCCTGCAGAATTTGACACTATTGATGTAGTCCACCACATTCTCTCCCTTGGCTTCTCCAACTCAACAGGAACCCAGTTCTCTCCCTGCCCCCTTCATTGGCTCCTCCATTTCCTTTGCTGGCACCTTCTCCAGTTCCCACTGCCTAATTCTGCTTATCTCCCAAGGCTGAGGCCTTGGCCATACTACCTTTCTCTCTCTGCTCCTTCTTTAAATAAAAATAAGAGATATAAAAATAATAATGTAGTAATAATAGGAGTCCTGGTATGGACTGCTAACTGCAAGATCAGTGGTTCAAACCCACTAGCCACTTTTCAGAAACCCTATACAGGGTCGTTATAAATTGGAATGAAATCAATGGCACTTAACAACATTGACTGAACATTGCATTAGGCATTATGTGTTAGTACGCTCAGCTACTATCAGAAAGATTGGAGTTTCAAGTCCACCCAGAGGCACCTTGGAAGAAAGACCTGGCGATCTGTTTCTGAAAGGTCACAGCAGTGCCCCTATGGAGCACAATTCTACTCTTACATACATGAGATCTCCATGAGTCAGAATTGGCTCAATCGCAATTGGAACTGGAACTGTAAATATATTATGAACATAGAATATGATTCTTACAATAACCTTGTGAGTTTGTAATATTATTAAATTTTACAACTAATAAAATTGAGGTTGAGAGTGATTAAGTAACTTGCCTAAGGTCACACAGCTAGTATGTTTAGAACATCAATTCAAACCCTGCCAGTTCAGTGACAAAGTACTGCACTCTCCTAATTTACCCATGCTCATAACTTCAAACAGCTTGCCCCCCTAGAGGCAGTGGAGTCATGGACCTTGGATGGAGTCAGAAACCTTAGTTATCCATGTGAGTCAGCTAAGTAGCTTTGTGACCTTGAACAAGTCACTTAACCTCTCTGGGCCTGTGTTTGCTCAAGATCACAAAGCTACTTATTTGATTCACAATAATGGGTCGCTGAGGGTAAGTGTAAATGTGTGAATTAGGTATATAGGGGGTAGGGGTGGAGGAGAGAAAGTGTTCTCTGTACCTTATGCTCCAGTCACAGCCAAATAATTTTATTTTCTCAAATGCTCTTTTTTAACCCCTGCTCGTGCTATTCACTTTAGTCTGGAATGTGCTACTTCTCTAAGACCACTTACTAAAATCATGGTGTGGCGCTATAGGATAAGCACTGGACTGCAAATCACAAGTTCAGCGGTGTCAGCACACCAGCTGCTCCTCAGAAACCCTATACAGGGTTGCTATGAGTCTGAACCGATTCGATGGCACTTAACAACAATAGTAAGTGTGGTGCTATAGCTAACCACAAGATCAAACTCATCAGTCGCTCGTCAGAAACAGGACACAGGGCCACTATGAGTTGGAACCAACTCAACGGCACTTAATAACAACAGTAATTCTTTAAAGCCTGTTCGTATGTCATTTAAACTTTAAAGACATGGTTCATATGCCTTAAATGGGATTCAGGTTAAACCCCCTTTTTCTCTGTTTTTTCCTTTTTAACTGTAGTTGGTCCTTTGGGTATCATCACCTCAAGCAAGTATTTCTTGATACCCCCTTGGACTCCCTCAGACAAGGCTTTTCTTATACTATAGAGTCACTGTTAACTTCTTATCTTTCCTACTAACCTGTGGGTTTCCCAAGGGCACAGTGCCTGGCACATAGTAAACCAAAAACAATTCCAACTCATGATGACCCTGGGTGTGTAGAATAGAACTGCTGCATAGGGTTTTCAAGGTTGTGACTTTTTGGAAGTAGATCTCCAGGCCTTTCTTCCAAGGTACCTTTGGGTGCCACCATCCTTTAGGTTAGTAGCCGAGAGCAGAACATTTGTGCCACCCAGAGTACTGCATCTGCAAAATGAGGATAATAACAACAGCTTCCCCTTTGGGTTGCTATAAAAACTAAGATATGAAAATACTTTATAAACTTCAAAGCACAATACAAATGTTGAGTTATTTGGGAGGAGTTTAGAGGAAGGAACTGTGGTATAAAGAGAACTCTCTTTGGAGTTAAACTCTCTGTGGGTTAAAAATCTTAGTTTAGGTACATATAGTATCAATTTAGATAAAGTGTTAAATCCTTCTAAGCCTTCGTTTCCATCTTCCCACTTGTCCAACAGAAATAATAATGTCTACTCTGTTGGGGAAAGCCCTGATATGATGCTGTAGGTTAAGGATAAAGATTGAACTGCTAGCAGGAAGGTCAGCGGTTCAAACCCATCAGCTGTTCCTTGGAAATTCTATACAGGGTCGTTTCGAGTAGGAATGAAACCAACTCGATGGCATTTAGCAACAGCAACAATAATAAACTTTTTTAGACTATTGTGTAGACAATACCAGACAGTGTATGGAAACATCTATTATAGTACTTTGCATACAGTCAAGACTTGATACATGTTTATGGCTGAATGTGGGTTTGATGGGAGAGTTTAATAAAACTAATTTTAACTACAGGCACCAAATTCCAACTATCAGTTATACACTTTTGGTGCAAGGTCCTACTGGTCTACCAACTTTTGTTGTTATGTGCCGTGGAGTCGGTTCCGACTCACAGCGACCCTGGACAGGGTTTCCGAGGTTGTAAATCTTTATGGGAGCAGAAAGCCTCATCTTTCTCCACGGAACAGCTGGTAGTTTCAAACTGCAGCCCGATTTGTAACCACTATGCTACCAGAGCTCCTAGTCTACCAACTAGTCAGTCCTAAAGTGAACTCAGCTCAGCATCCTTTACCCTGTCTGTGGTGGCTCCTTCCTCCTACACAGGCCTGAACCCTACAGTCATCCTTTACCCCTCCCTTCTCTCTTCCTGCACCCCTAAACAGTTGGTTATCATGGCCTATCAGTATTTTCTTGAAAATCTCTCTCACTTCCTTCCTTCTTTTACATTCATACTGCCACTGCTAAAGGCCAGTCTAGCCCTCAAGGCTCCCATGAAGGCCTGCATTCTGGGTCAGCCTCCTGACTGGACACTCTCCTCCAGTCTTTGATTGCTTCCATGCAGCTTCTCCACTCATCTTCCTCAAACACTGCTCTCATCAAGTCCCTCTACTGCTCAAGAATGGACAGTGGCTCCCTAGTTCATATGGTATCAATCTGGACAACTTTGCCAGCCCTCTAAGCCCTGCCTCACTGACCCTGTCCACCCAGTTATGGGTTGTTACAGAGAGCAGGAACTTGCAAACAAATGTGCTGTTTCTTCTGCTTATTCCTTCTGGATTCAGTACTTAACATGCCTCCTTACCTTTCTACAGTCAATACTACCAAATTCCAGGTCTATTTACTTCTCTAGATGGTAGGGTGATTCATTGGAGAAATAAATGAGATAATACATATAAAACACTTCTTAGCATTGTGTCAGGCCCATGTTGTTGTTGTTAAGTGTCATCCAACAGGTTCTGACTCATAGCGACCCTGTATAGGGTTTCCAAGGAACAGCTGGTGGGTTTGAACCTCTAACCTTATGGTTAGCAGTCGAGTGCTGATTCTATGGTGCCATACCGGGACTCCAACAGGCCCATTTGTTGTTGTTGTTAAGTGTCTTCAAGTTGGTTCCGACTCATAGCGACTTTGTAGAGGGTTTACTGCGGAGAAGCTGGTGGGTTTGAACTGCCGACCTTGTGTTTCACAGACCAGAGCTGACTATAGTACCATACCAGGAGTCCCTGTCAGACCCATATCAATTATTATCATTACTATTGGTATAAATGGTCTACCAGATAGGCAGTGGTACTTGTGACGGATTAGAAATCAAGGTATGAAGGGAGAGGGACTCATAAAAAGAGAGAAGGGATTAGATTTGAGAGGAGAAGAGGGGCACTCAGGAGTGGGTCTGCGGAAGAGGAGAGGTCAGGGTGGCAGGAGGGGGTAGGGCAGGCTGCTACTCACTGCGCTGTAGTTGTTGAAGAGGCCAAGGGTGGGGGCTGGCTCCAGTGGGAACGGCAGGATTGGCTTGAGGTCCAGTGGAGGCTGCATGATGGGGGCCTGCCGTAGCAGAGGGAGGGGCCCTGCCCGGCTCAGGCTGCCTGGAAGGTAGAGAAAGCATTTTGTGGGGCAAGAAGATTAAAGGTTGACACCCAAGTCTGTCAATCTCATGCCCCAGCCAAGGTAGGGGGCTCCCCACTCAGCACTGTGACCCCCAGTGTGCAGACACTTACACACATCTCCCCTGCTCACTGGCTCCACAGCAGTAAAGCTGGGTATCCAGTGGGCCTGGGGGAGGGCGGCGCAGACCAGCCCTCCCTTCTGGGTGGTTTTCAGTTCCCCTTCTCCAGCCTCCCTCCCCCAAGGCGTGACAGACCCAGGAAGAACACAGAGCTTCTCCACTGGCTTGGGCTGGACCAGAAGGCCTCAGGAGCCCAAAGCCCCTGACCACTCCCTTCTTCGGGTTTTGCTTTCCCCAAGGGCATCTCAAAAGAGTCAAGTGGTTATTCATCCCACTACCCAGAGGAGAATATTGAGGGCTGGATTGGGAGAAGGAGCTGCTGAATAGTCAGGCTCTACAAACTTCCGGGGCATTAGCTCTGGGAGGCTAACTGCCTCGAGCCATCTTCAGAGTCCCTTCTCCCAACTTTCTTCAATCTTCTCCTAGTCTTTGTCTCTTTGGCCAGGGAGTGTCCAGCTCTGCAGAAGGAACCACAATCTGGTCTCTGGGCGGGGAATGCCTGGGTCTGACCCTAAGGGGAAATGAAAGTCTGGGCAAGCTACCATCTCCTAAAGCCATCTCTCCCCCACCCCCACCTCACCCCAGAGTCATGGTAGAAAGTCTATCAAGCTTCAAAGGAACAGTCCAAAGGTCCTCAGGACCCCAATGGTCTTGCACTGGATCAGCTCACTTCTGGGACCCCCTGGCTGCCCTTCAGTGCTCCAGCAAGCCCTGCTTGCCACAGGGGTTCCTAGGAACAAAGGCAAACCCAGGAAGCTGCATGCCTGACCCAACCTCCTTTGACCTTACTGGGGCATAGGGTCCCCAATCCTTTCCTTATTCCCCCACAAAGACTTCCCTTTTCATACCTTTAGTATCTGGTGTCCACTGCCTCCAGGCAGTAGCCTGGCCCTGGCCCCCCAGGGGCCTGGGCCTGACAGTGTCCCCTTCCCTTGGTTCTGCCCCTTGCCCCCTCCCTTGCCAGCCCCCCCACCCCCAGCCTGTCAGTAGAATCAGCCAATCAGAGTCCTGGAAAAGTGGGGCAGAGGGGAGGGCGGGGGAGCAGGGATTAGGGGACTCAGAGGAGAGAGGGAGGGGCTAGGGAGGGCTCAGGCACAGCTGGGGGCAGGGAAGTCTACAGGGGTCTAGCTCTTTCACCCAAGACCAGGACTGGGGGACAGGTGCCTGAGGTGGAGAGGGGTCAAAACTGTTGGGGATTTGGAGTCCTAATATCTGAGGGCTGTAGGAGAGTAGGATGCATGGTTTGGGCCCTTGGGCAGCTAGGGGTCTGGATGCCTTGTTCATTGCCTCCTCTTTTGCCACCTTCAGGTCTGGGATGAGGTGGGGTAGGGGAGAGAGTGGGGAAGGGAGAAAGAGAAGTAAGAGAGAGAGAATTGGAGCGACTGACAAAGGCAGGAATAGGTGACTGAGAAAAGGGACAGAGACGCTGAGAGAACAAAGGAAGGATGGGAAATGGGATGTAAAACCAGTTGGAGAGACACTGCCGCTGCTGGAAGCTGGACACAGAGCTAGAGATCACCATGTGTCGTTCATTGTTAAATGCCATCAGTTCTGATTCATAGCAACCTGGCATAGGGTTTCCAAGGTGCAACTGGTGGGTTTGAACTGCCAACCTTGAGGTTCGCAGTCCAGTGTTTATCCTACAGTACCACACCAGGACTCTAGAGACTAGTGTTGTTGTTGTTAAGTGCCGTGAAATTAGTTCTGACCCATAGCAACCCTGTATAAGGTTTCCGAGGAACAGCTGGTGGGCTTGAACCACTGACCTTGTGGTTCAAGCTGAACCTACAGTCCAGCACATTAACCCAGGACTCCAGAGACAGGTGGTGGTGGTGGTGTGCGCCATGGAGTCAGTTCCGACTCATAGCGACCCTGTCTAGGGTTGTTGAAGCTGTAAATCTTTATGGGAGCGAAAAACCTCATCTTTCTCCCACGGAATAGCTGGTAGTTTCAAACTGCTGACCTCGCAGTTAGCAGCCCAACTCATAATCACTATACTACCAGAGCTCCTTAGAGAGTCAGGTGATGGTGGTGGTTATGTGCCGTGGAGTCAGTTCCGACTCACAATGACCCTATGTAGGATTTCCGAGGCTGTAAATCTTTAAGGGAGCAGAAAGCCTCATCTTTCTCCTGCAGAACAGCTGGTAGTTTCGAACTGCTGACCTTAAGGTTCACAGCCCGATTCTTAACCACAGGTAGAAAGCCTAAAAGGCAGAGAATAGTGAGAGTAAGAAAGGAGGGAAAAGAGAGAGGCGCAGATAAACTGACAAGACAATTTGACAACCTCCCTTTCCTGGTCTGTCCCTTCATGGCTTCTCCCCTCTGCACATGCTTCTCCCCACCCTCACTGCCTGGCACACAAGTTCAGGGCAGCCTTAACGAGCCCTGGGCAGCATCAGGAATGGTGAGAGAAACTTGAGCGCTCCCAGAGTCCCCAGCACTCTGCAACCACCCCTAGCAGCTGGTTTGGGGCTGGCACTTGCTCTGCCTTAGGGCACCAGAGACTGCAGCTCAGCTCCTTGACCCTTTCCCTGGCTCCAGATTTTCTAGGTATCCATCCCTCAAATACCCATCCCAGAGGAAAGAGATGAAGTCAGGAAAAAGACAAGATAAAAAAATTAATTGGCGAGCTCCTATATGCCAGGAGTCCTGGTGTGGTACTGTGGGTTACTGTGCTGGACTACAAGGTTGGTTTGAACTGGAAGGTTGGTGGTTTAAGCTCACCAACCACTCCTTGGAAACCCTATACAGGGTTGCTGTGAGTCAGAACTGACTGGACAGCACTTAACAACAGCAACAATTAGATGCCAGGAGGAGTCCTGGTGTGGCACTGCAGGATAATACACTAGACTGCAAGGTCGGTTTGATGCTCAAGGTCAGCGGTTCAAACTCACCAGCTGCTCCTTGAAAACCCTACACAGGTTGCTACGAGACGGAACCGACTAGACTTAACAATAAATATGCTAGGTAATGAATTCCAAGTAGTGTTACATTTAATCCCTGAAATAGCTCAGTTGATAAGGTAGCTATGATTCTGATTCTATGAGGTAGCTGATGTGGGTTTCCCCATTTGACAGATGAGAAAACTGTCAAAAGCAACTCATAGAAGTTAAAAAATTTTGGCTGATGTCACAATCTGTAAGTATCAAGATCTGCCTCAGTCTACAGCAAATTCTTTTTCATCTACATCACCCCAAAAAGGCTCTAATGTAACTCTGAAGCAGAGGTTGGAACACAGGCTTCCAAATCTTGTTCAGAGGATGGGTTGAGGAGGAACCAGTTCCATACATTTCCTGGGATTGGAGTCCTCATTTTCCTCCAGAGCAGACAGGTAGCAGCCACGGAGTTCTTTTATGGTCAGCAACTTGTCTTTTCTGAGGGAGAGGAGGAGGGGAAGTGGGAGAGAGGTTAAGATAAAGGTGGATTGGGGAAGGAAGCAAGGTGGACAGCTGGAGATTGATTCATTTGTCTCCTTTCCAGATTCCTGGGTCCACGCTGAGATTGGAGGTGGGGAAAGAGGCAGATTGCAGTTTATGGGTTTTATTGTTGTTGTTGAATAGATTCCAACTCACGGTGACCCTACATGTACAAAGCAGAACTGCTCCCTAGGGTTTCAAGGTTGTGCCCTTTCTGAATCAGATCACTAGGTTTATCTTCCCTGGCGCTGCTATCCAGTAGGTTTGAATCGAGACCCTTTGAACTAGCGTTTAGCCGTTTGTACCACCTTTTTAATGGGTTGGGTGGGCAGAAACATGGTTTCTTGGTTTCACATAACCCAAACCTCAGTCCTTTTCTCTTTTTTTGAGACTAAAAATAGTTGTCACTTTTGAGGGTTTACTATATGCCACTACTTTACATAGACAATCTCCCTGTATAGTCCCACTGTCCACTAGTGAGGTGATTAAATAGTTTCTCAGACTCCCAGTCTCATCTCTCATCTGTCAAGTGACAACAACAGTACTTGCCTCACAGAGTTGTTGAAAGGATTGAATGAAGCCATGTAAGGAGCTGGCATGCAGCGAGGAGAGCTTAATAAATGTTTGCTGAATAAATGAATCTTCATCTTATAAATTAGGGATTGTTGTTGTTGTTAAGTCCGTTGAGTCGGTTCTGACCCATAGCGACCCTGTATAGGGTTTCCGAGAAGCAGCTGGTGAGCTTGAACTGCCGACCTTGAAGTTCAAACGGCTTTGCAGTCTGGCACTTTAACCCGCAGCACCACACTAGGACTCCAAGTCAGGGTTGGGGAACCCTTTTTTCTGCCAAGGGCCGTTTGGATATTTTATAATATTGTTCAATGGCCATACAAAACTATCAACCTAAAAATTAGCCTGCTATATTTAGTCGAACATTTAATTAATTCATCCCTAATGTGATGGCTAAGGAGCTCTGGTAGCGTAGTGGTTACAAATTGGGCTGCTAACCTCAAGGTCAGCAGTTCGAAACTACCAACTGTTGCGCAGGAGAAAAATGAGGCTTTCTGCTCCCATAAAGATTTACAGCCTTGGAAACCCTGTACAGGGTCTCTATGAGTTGAAACTGACTCCACGGCATATAACCACCACCAATGTGATGGCTGCAGTCCTGGTGTAGTGCTGTAGGATAAGTGCAGGACCACAGGGTCGGTTTGAACCACAAGGTTAGTGGTTCAAAGTCACTGTCTCTCCTTGTTAACACTATGAGTTGGAACTGACTGGAAGGCACTTAACAACAGGAACAATGTGATGGCTAGAACTGTGGTTGGCTTGACAGGGCCGGACCAAATGATTTTGTGGGCCTTATTCAGCCCTCGGACCAGACATTCCCCACCCCTGTTGTAAATGATACTGGGCTCAGAGAGGGAGAGTAATTTGACCAAGGTCACACAGCTAGTGAGGGATTTGAACCTATCTGACTGCAAAGTCATTTGAACTGCAAGATCACCAGCCACTCCTCGGAAACCCTATACAGGGTAGCTATGGGTCAGAACCGACTCGAAAGCACTTAACAATAACAACAACAACAAGTCTAGCTCCAGATATATGGGCTTTCAAGTACTATACTTTTCTGGGTAGACTGGAGAAAGTAGGGGAAAAGCGAAGGGATATAAGAAGGGATGGAAAAGAAGGAAATGAGGTAGGAAATCCTGGATTTCTGACAGCTACCTGCTGAGGACTTCAGGCAAGTTTGGAGGAGGGGTTGGAGAGCAAATTGGTGTGTGTGCACATGCATGTATGCACATGCCCAAGTCACATGTCAGGCAGGGCAGGAGGAGTTGGGCCAGGCCAGGGTAGGGCACTTCAGAGGGAAGCTCATTAGAGTAATTACCTCCAGCAGATACAGCCCCACCCCGTTCTAGGGGGAATTACCAGTGTTTTATTAAAGACAGATCCGAATGCACTTTAGATGTGGTGTACTCATAGACCCTCAGATGGATGTCTATCTGTCCTTTTCACAGGGCCCTTTGACCCTACTGAGGTTTTCCCTCCAGTACCAAGACACAACCAAGCTACATCTGACTTCCTCCATCCCACTGGAGTCCATTTTTTTAAAATCAACTATCTCTTCCTTAGAATTTCTGGCCAGATTTGGAGCCCCGGCCCCTTGACTATTTTAGGGATGGTCTGGGGCCTCAAGGCCTGGTGGCAAAGAATGGGAGTCTCTGTTGTAAGCTGAATCTGGGAGTGTCTGTGTCTGGACAGAAACAGGAGCCAGGAAAGGTGTAAGTGTAGGGCTGTGGGTTTGTGTTGGTTTGGAGGCTAGGCCAAGATGAGATTAAGATCATAGAGGTATTGGGGTTAAGGTTGCAAGTAGTGTTAGGGCCCGAGGTGGCAAAAAGCACAGGGTCAGCACTGGGTTAAATTGGGAATTAGAATCTAGAGCCAAGGAAGAAACTGGAACGAAGTCTGAGCTGGAATTTCTCATCTCTAATTTATCTCTTTTCCCTTTTGGAGCCTTTCGTCTCTTCTCCTTCCCCAGAAAGACCTAAAATGGGGGGAGAGGTAAAGAACCCTGAACTCCTGCCTCAATTTCCCTCTTTTTGGCAGGAGGACAAGCTGAAGCTTTGAAGTCAAAGATGAAAGCAACAAGGGGATGATTATGAACAGCTACTCAAAACATCATCCCTAACAACCTCGGGGTGAATGTGGGTGAGGGGAGGTGGGGCCTAAAGGGAGGCAAAGGAATAGGAGGGCGGTCTCTGCCAATCTGACTGACAAAGGTCTCCTATAATGTCCCACCACCACCACCACACCAGGGACTCAATTGGAGAGGAGGATACAGAGTGGCTAAGAACTAAAAGCCTGAACAGACAGCCCTACCTTAAACCTTGGGCCCAGAGTCTAGATCTGGCTTTAGGGCTCTTCTGAGGCACTGTACTGGGCTGCTAACCAAAAGGTGGTCAGTTCAAATCCACCAGCCGCATGTATACTCACAGGGTTATTATGAGTTGGAACTGACTGGAGGGCACTTAACAACAACAACAGGGCCACCAAATACATGGACTCAGTAGTCTGAAGCATTCAGAACCTGAACACCTTAGGACAGGCCTAGCCTGAGCCCTGGCTGGCAGCTTCCTCCCTCTTTCCTTCCTTTCTCAAAGAGGACTAAGGTGTGGGATCCCACCTGGCATTTCCAAGCTGGTGCCTTGGGCTTGGCACAGGGGTTAGTTAATGATAAGGTGTTCTAGGGAGATATGGTGGGGGTCCAATTGGTGGTGGGTGTCCAATTTCAGAGAATTTGGATTCAGGCAATCAGCTTGTAGCTGGGGACTTGAAGCTCACTCATACAGAACTGTTCTGGGCATGCATGACACTGACTCTGAGGTTCCTTGCCCAGGGTGGGGCCCATGTCCAGGGTGGAGCCAAGGTGTAGGGATCACACTGGTTGGAATAATGTGGAACCTGTGCTCTGGAGACTTGGTTGGGGTCACTCTAGAGTGGTTACCTTCCCCTGCTAGAGATACTCTTGGGAAAAAGGCAATCAGCCATTCCTCCCTGCCTCCCTTCCTTCACTCACTCACTCATTCATTCATTCATTTAACTGACATGATTGAATGCCAAGTGGAGAGGGTGAGAACAAGGAGAGGGGGAGAAAGAAAGCATTGGAGGATGGAAAGCAGAGGGGTGAGAGATTTTCATGGGAAGTAAATGGGGGGGGGGAGTGGTGGTATCAGATGAAGGAAGAGAAGGATCTGAATAGGGAATGAGGAAGAATAATAGCAGGAGGGACTCAACAGAGGGATGAGAAGCCAGTCAAGCCCTCAGGCACCAGCTTGGAGCCAGGTGTCCCCAGTAGAGGGCGGGGAGACCACAGGTGTCTGGGCTTGGTAGGGGGGCTCCCACCATAAACAGGGTCCAGGAACCGGCCTAGCCAGGGCAGAGGGCAGAGGTCAGAGCAAGCTTGTGGACTATTGTGGAGACAGGTCGAAGGGCATGGGCCTGGAGCTCGAGCTGATGTGGAGTCCAGCGCACAGCTAGGCCCTCTCCTCCCCCATCCCCAGGGCTCCCTTCCCTCCCTTTCCAATGTAGGTCATGAGGATGGGGTGGTTGTGGCTGACGGGTTGTCAGAGCCCAGCAGTAGTTCCCCTCCCCCAGCTTTACTCTCCCTATCATCCCTCCTTCCCCCAGCGCCCCCTGGACCAAAGCAGGCGGGTAGAGGAGAAGGAAGACTGGGAGGAAGGGCCCAGACAGCCACAGCAGGGAGGGAGAGGGCAGGTCCCGGCTTGTTGGGGCAGGATGGCTGCGGAGGCAGGATCTGAGCCGCAGGGGCCCTGGGATGGACAGTTTCCCACCCCCTCTTCTCCCTAGACCCTTCATCTCTAGCCCTCAGGTTCCTACCTCCCACCACACACACCTCGAAGATGGACCTACCATTTTCCCCCACCCTCTGTCCCCGTTTCTTTTCCCTCTAATCCTGGGCCTAAAAGGATGTCCGAGTGTTTAAGGTGAGGGTTGGGGAAGGACGGGTCAGATCCTTTGCCCCCAACTCCACCAGGCCAGGACCAGCTTCCTCCCCCAGCCTCTCTGACTTAATATAATATTCATGAGCCTCATGAATATGCAATGTCCTCATTATGGGGCTGGGGTCTTACTCCACTCTGCTTCCCACTTCATCACTCCCTATATTACCGGGAGGAGCTTGGGAAGGGGGGGCTCGGGGACCCCAGATGTGAAGCCAGATGAAGGGGGAGGGGGAGCCGGTCGCTGACGGGCGGCCGCAGTCACCGCGGTGCCGGGAGGTTGAAGAGGGGTGACCCACTGAGAGAGACCCAGGAGCCTGAAGCTTGGAACCGCCGAGCCCACTCACCGAGGATCATGCTGGGGACCCAGGAGCCCGGGGTTCCTCGTCGCTCTGTCCCGGGGGCCGTTCTGGCTGGGCTGGGGGTACTGGGGGAGGAGTCAGGGGAGGAGCAGAGGCCGGCCCAGGCGGAGCGGGGGCGGGGCCCGCAGCAGGTGAAGACGGGAGGAGGGGCGGGGACCAGGACACCAAGGGCTCCAGGAGGGGTGTCCTGATGGCTCTGGTCCCTCCTGCTTCCTCCCGCCCTTCTACTTGCTGCCTCTGAGTCTCTTGAATTTACTGTGTCACTGCAGTCAGGTCTAGGAAAACAAAACATCTAAAAGACCGGGTGAGGTGCTGAAGGAAGGAAGCTAGAAACTAAGATGACTGGGTTCCGAAGGCCTGAGTCTGAGAGTGGGAAATCTGGTCCTAGGCTGATAATGGGGTGAGGGGAGGGGATGCCTCAGTACTCTGGGAGAAGGATGGGACCTAGGTTGGGTGGGCTACCTGAGTCCCCTCCGGAGGGATGGGAGTGTAGATCCCTTATTTGTTTCTCCGGCTTTGTAGCAGGATGCCTGGGGGCTGGGTCTCCGAGTAGAATGAGGGGCTGAAGATGATTCCTAAAATGATAGCTGATGCTGGAATACCAATGCCTGGGTCCTTAGGGAAGGGCTAATTCTACTTTAGGGAAGAATCTGCAATCAATGGGCCTGAGGAGGTGAAAATAGAAACTTGCAGCTGAGATCATTGGGAAGAGGCAGAATACGAGGAGGACTGAGGAACAACCTTGTAGAGATGACCTGGATGGGCAGGGGAGTGGTGGGGGTGCAGCCACCCATGGCCTAAACCCTGGGAATTTCCCACAAAGGTGAGCTTGGATTGCAGAGGATTGCAGGGCTGAGAGGATTATCTGGTGAGGTGGGGAGGGTATAGAATGCAGGACAGAATATATGGGCTGAGGAGATTGTCAAGGGTAGGGAGAGTACAGGACACTTAGATGTGTGCTAAGGGATGATAGAAGGGCAATTGGGATCCTGGCATGAGGCTGGAGTCTGGGAGTGTGCCTACCTGCAAGGTGTCTAGGGAAGATGCCACTCCTCCAGCCTGGGACCTGTTGGTACCCGCCCCAAGAGGGAAGGCAGCCGGCAGGTTTCCCACAATGCCAAGCAGCCAGAGGGGAAGGGGTTGTGTCTGGGAACTAGAACACGTGAGAGATTTAGGGAGGGTGGAGGCAGGGAGGAAGAAGTCTGTGGAAGGAAGGCAGGACTGGAGTCTAGGAACAGTCCAGGAAGGGGACTGGAAGATGGAACTAGATGGCTCATTAAGGTACAGAAAAGCTAGGTTCCTGTTTCTGGACCCCAGTAGTTTTCTTGTCCTCACCCCAGTGATTTGGTATGAAGGAGAGATCTGTTTTGCACTGGTAAGGCCAGCTCTGACTCAAGAGCAAGAGGATGCTGGGACTGCCAATGCTGAACCAAAGGCCCAGAGACCCCAGGGGATGGTGACCTTGCTGCCCATGTCTGACTTTGGGACCTCTGACCTTGTTAGAAGAGCTCTTGCTCCAGATCACACCTACCCTCAGGAAGTTAGAATCCAGTATCACAAAGCCTCATACCCTGCTATCGCCTCCCCCTTGCTCAGTCTTCTTTCCTCTTCCCTTTCATTTGCCTCCTTGAGTGGAATCCAAGACAAAACAAGGGTCAGTATCAGGCATGGTTGATCAGTGACAGGGACCCGTTTGCCCTCAACCCTTTGTCCACCTTCCCACAATGCCCTCAGGGACCCTGAACTAGGGGTCTCAGAAGAGGGATTGCTTAGCTTACCAAGGGGAGGCAGCTGGCTGGAGGGTGGGGTGATCTTGCAGGCAGCTGAGGGGGGCAATGTGTGGGGTGAATTCATTATTGATGAGCCCTGCACCCCGGGCTACTAATGAGCCCAGGCAGGCTGCTCTAATTGATGTCAAGAAACTTGAGACCCCCCAGATCAGCTTCCCGCCTGCCAGCTGCCTCTCTTGAGCCCCCTCCCCCTCCCCGCACCCCCAGCTGCTCTGTTCCCTTCCTGGGGCCTCCCTCCCTCCTTCCTATTTCCAATATAGACAAGGACAGTGCCCAGGCCTCCTAGGCCTTCACCTCATGTTCCCTTGGATCACTTTGTAAGAGGCACACTTGCTCTGGAGCACTGGGAGATTTGTGCGAGGAAACACAGTCTAGGATCTGGGAATCTCAGCTCAGGGACAGAGAAGCAGATACTAGATTACAGCTGTGGCATTTCTGAGCAAGGACTCCCTTCCTTGTATTGTACATCCTTGAGTGAGAGCGTGTCATTCTCTGAGACTCACAGGTACACAGAAACGTATTCGTGACAGCCACACACCCAATACTCACTTCCTCTTCTCCTCAGAGCAGTGACAGAAGTCTCTGATCTGGTCCATGGTGTTTGGCTACTGTCACTCCTACCCTTCCCTAGAGAGGTTGCTGTTTGCTTTAGAATCCCAGATGCCTTATGCCATAAATGACATCTTGGCAGCACTGGGCTCTTTGCCCAATTATATCTCTTCTTCCCTATGTTGTTGTTAAGTGCCGTCAAGTGTCACATCAGTTTTGACTCATAGTGACTCTGTCTGGGGTTCTGAGGAGCAGCTGGTGGATTTGAACTGCTGTCCAGTGCTTATCTTACAGCTCCACATCAGTCCTTCCTCCCTATGGTCCCTCTTCATTTATGAGTTATAGGAAGAGTTTCATGAAGCACAGAATTATTGAGAAGTCACAGGGTGCAGTGTGATGCAGGCACTGCTAGGGAGGAAGCTGAGTTAAAAAGAACAGCTCTGATGTTGGGGGGAAACTGAGCTGGACTTCTGACTGCTGCTCCCCCAAACCCCATAAATTTGTGGCTGTGCTGCCCTCTTGTGGCTAAATTCGAATAGCCTGACAAGGACATCTTTGCCTCCAACCCGGTTAGAATTTAAGCTGGCATGGTGTTCAGTGCTGTGGAGTTGATTCAGACTCATAAGGACCCTGTACAGCTGGCAGGTTTGAACCATCAAACTTGTGGTTTGCAATCCAGTTCTCATTATACAGCGCCAAACCAGGAGTCCAAGTGGGCTGTTAACTACAGGGTTGGCAGTTCGAATCCATCAGCTGTTCCATGGGAGAAAGTTGAGGCTTTCTGCTCCCATAGAGATCTACAACCTCAGCAACCCTGTAAGGGTCACTATGAGTCAGAACCAACTTGACAGCACATTCCAAAAACAATGCTTCCCCTTGGGAGTCCTGGTGTGGCGCTGGACTTAACTGCAAGGTCAGAGGTTCAAACCCATCACCCACTCCTCAGAAACTCTATACAGGTCTATACAGTTGGAACCACTCAACAGTACTTAACAATAACAACACGCTTCCTCTTATGGGAGCTCTGGTGGGATAAACACTGGACTGCTATCTATGAGGTCTATGATTCAAACATACCAGCTACTCAGAAGGAGAAAGATGAGGCTGTCAGCTCCCATACAGATTTAGTCTCAGAAACCCTACAGAGGGTCATTAAGAGTTGAAATCAACTCAGTGGCAGTATGCTTCCTTTTGCCTTATTTTAGGACAAGTATCCAGGAGACAGTCGCCAAAGGGCGGTCTCATTTTGCAGGGTTTTTCTTCAAAACCAGAACCGTATGGCATGTTGGTTAAAAATGAGGGCTTTCACAATCAGACAACTAGGGGTTTGACTCTACTCTGCCACTTACCATGTGACCTTGGACAAGTGACATGTCTTTGCTGGGCCTGTTTCTCCTTAGGTAAATGGGCTTAATACTACCTACTTCGGAGGATTATTGATGGCGTTAAAACAAAACAAATAAAACAAAAACTAACTGCCTTTCTTTTCTACAATTTATACAAACAACACACACGCTGTGCAGTTGTTTTTCCTTAAAAAACCTGCACACCCTCCTCACATGTATGTGTTCTATTTGTAGTCTATGTGAGTGTGCTTAGTTTACATGTGTGCATTATGTGCAAACATATGGTAGTCTGTTTTCTCTTACAATTGATTCCATGGGTCATCACCAGCATTCTTCTAGATTATTTGGATTCAGGAAAGTCTAGATGAGTTACCTGGACCCCAATTTAGATCTTTCCCTACATTATTCTCTGATCCGCAAACACAGAGAGCAGGGATTCCTTTTTCCTTTTGGGGTACTGGAGACCAGACCTGGTGAGGGTTGGGTGATGGGGCAGAGGAAGCAAGTTTTTCCTCTTTCATCATTTCTTTCCCAGTTCCTGGGGCTCGTACTTCAGGTTCCCAATGGAAAGAATTGTTAGAAACGCAGGCATCTCCTTTCCATCAAGATGTCTGATTTCAAGATGGATTTGGAAAGAGCAGGGTAGAAGGAAAGATACAGAATCCAGCTCTGGTCAGTGGAGAGCCCCAGGCCGGGTTTATTGCACTTGCAACAGAGTTTAAATAAGTCCCGGGTGTCCCGGAGCCAAGGTGAGGGGAAGGCTGGGCAGGGAGGGGAGGGGCAGCGTCAGTGCAGCTGGTGGGCAGAACCCAAATTCTGTAAGCCCAGAACAATGGGCTTCCCTTTCTCCAGAGAGACTGGAAGGGCCTTCGTCTGGCCAGGCTGAGGTTCCATATCTGTAGTTATCATGGCCTCTTCAGGGTCCTGGGTAATTCCTGACTTCTCCTGAATCAGGGGTGGATTGGGCCTTCAGGCCTAGGTCTAGAGTAGGCCCAACTGTAGTCCTGGATCTGCCTGGTTAGGTTACCAATGGTCTGAGTCAGGATCCTGGATCAGTCCCAGGCCACAGGCTAGATCTGGCCCCATCTGAGTTCTGATTTCTCCTGGAGCTGAGTTCTGAGCCAGCATCAATCCTTGCTTGGGATCTGCCCTGAGCTGGTCCTGGGGCACCATCCATGGTTAGTGTTCCTTGTTGGTCCTCCAGGACGGGCACTCTCTGGAGCTGCCAGGTCTTACTCCCCAGGTTTCAGGTTCTTATCTGGGGTTTCTTCTGGGTCTCTGGCAAGGCCAAGGGCAAATCTTTGCAGGCTGGGGCTAGACAGTAGGTCCTGGTGGCATGTCAAGCCCAGACAACTGAGATTAGATTCCCCACTTTTGGTTCCAAGTTGTTTTCAGAGAACTCTCTCTCTAAAATGCGAAGGCTGCAGGGAGGCCTAGGCCTCTGTCCCTGGGTCTGAGTTACTCCGTCTATGAGGAGGGCATGTGTAAACAAGGGTCCTTCACAGTGCATGGGGGGTGGTCCCCAGTTCCTCACCCCTCCAACTTGGCCCTTCAAGTATGTCTCTGGGCTGGGGAGAGGAGCTTCTCCCTGGCCCTCAGCACCTTTAGAAAGTACCCAGCCCCTCCCTGTCAGCAGACTGGGGGTGAGAGAGGACTGGGCCTTCAGGTTTGGGAGTCTGGGATCAGGCTTCAGAGGTGGCTGGAGGCTTGAGCTGAGCTTTTTCCATGGCGGTGCCGTATGGGAGGGAGCGTTTGAAGAATCCAAGCTAACAGAGGAGAGGAAAGAGTGCTTAGATACCCCTGATCCCGTTTCTCCAGGCTCTCATCCCAACAGGGAACAAGAAGGACATACTCTAGTGTCTCTAGCTTTGAGCTTCCAAGATTCTTCCTCCGATAGGCCCAGTGGGCCTAGAAAGCCTAAAATTAGGAGTGGTTTGGCATGGGGGGCGGGTGTCATAACAGTGTTCTCAGTTAAGTCATAACAGTGTCCTCAGTTAAGCCAGGAATGACAGACAGGTTTGAACTCAAATGCCAGTTCTGAGTGTCTGGTAGTGGCTACTTCTTGAGAAGGACTCTGAGGTCCCTTGTAGGCCCGTGATGGCCACCATGGGTTTGGGAGGAAAATAACAGCATATGTCATTTGTGGGTTACTTTGTTTTGAAAGTAAATTTACCAGCTTGAGGCAAGAGAGTTTTTCTAAGTTAGGGAATATAGAATGAACTGTGTGATCCTATATGCAGGGTTTTGATGGGACGCATGTGGCTAGGACAGAAGAGGGGGGCCATGTGCCTGGAGAGTTAGCCTGGAGGTGGCTACTTGGAAATGTGTTGGCTCAAGGGCAGAGCTTGATGAGAGGGTGGTCAACAAGTCATGGGCAGGACATGGCTCACCTTGTAGAGGATGTAGATGAGCAGACCCAGGAGCAAGAGGCCAAAGAGGATAGCTAGGATAATGATCCACAGTGGAACACCTTGACTGCCCTCTGCCTTGGTCCACTGCACAGCCGTGGCCACCTAGGGAACAAGTCAGGTGAGGTCACTGAAAATGCGAAAGTTTTTCCCACCTTACACTTGACCTTCACTTGCCTGCCATTGGACCTAGACTCCACTCCCATCTCCCATTTTTGGTTAATAGCATTTGAACTTAACAATTTTATTTCCATTTCTAAAATGTACAACATTGTCTCTTACTTTTGGGTCTTTACACCACTTTCTAGGATATTCTTTTCCTGGCTGCTTAGCCTGGTTGTTGTTATTGTTAGGTATGATTGAGTTGGTTCCAACCATAGCCACTCTATGCACACTGTATGCACAGAATGAAACACTGCCGGGTTCTGAGCTAGCCTCACAATTATTACGTTTGAGCCCACTGCTGCTGACAGTGTGTCATTCATCTTGTTGCGGGTTTTCCTCTTCTTCATTGACTCTCCACTTTACCAGTCGTGATATCCTTCTCCAGGGACTGGTTCCTTCTGATAATATGTCCTAAGTATGTGAAACAAAGTCTCACCATCCTAGTTTCTAAGGTACATTTTGGCTGCACTTCTTCCAAGACAGGTTTGTTTGTTCTTCTGGCAGTCCATGGTACTTTTTTTTTAAAGGTTTTTATTGTGGATTGAGTGAAAGTTTACAGGGCACATCATCAGTTTCACATTCAGCCATTCATATAACTTGTTTCATTACATTGATTACAATCCCCTCCATACATCATCGGTCAACAGTGTTTCTATCCTCTTTAGCTTTTCTCCTTTTTTTGGGGGGCGGTGGTGGTGGAAACTTTGCCTTTTTGGAATTTACATTCTCGGCTTTTAGGGAAGGTTTTTACATTTATCTGTGGATATCCAGAGCTCATGTATGCAATTACTAACAAGCATACCTGAATAATCAGATGAGGGACAGTTTGCTATGTCTGCTAGGTGGCTAAAGTCTGATCCTCAGAGCCTATGGTTTGGACGGTCTGCAACGCTTGGGCCCACAGGGCCTTGAACTCCTGGCCGGGTCTGCACGGTCTACCTCTGTTTCCCCCTTATTTATTATTTGTTTAGAGTCCATGGTACTTTTAATATTTTTTTCCAAAACCATAATTCAAATGCATCTATTCTGCTAGGGTTTTCCTTATTCATTGTCCAACTTTCACATGCATATGTTGTTGTTGTTGTTAAGTGCTGTCGAGTCCATTCCAATCCATAGCGACTCTGTATAGGGTTTCTGAGGAGTTGCTAGTGAGCTTGAACCACCAACCTTGCAGTTCAAACTGACTTTGCAGTCCAGCACGTTAACCCTCAGTGACACACCAGGACTCCACATGCATATGAGGCGAATGAAAATACCATGGCTTGGGTCACGTGTACCGTAGTCTTCAAACTTAGTCGTGCACCTTAGTCTTTGCTCTTTAATACTTTACAAGAGGTCGTGTGCAGCAGATTTGCCTAATGCAATACATTTATTGACTGCTGCTTCCATGTGTGTCAAAGAGATCCAAGCAAAATGAAGTCTATGACAATTTCAATCTTTTCTCCATTTATCATGATGTTATTCATTGGTCCAGTTGTGAGGAATTTTTTTCCCTCTTACATTGCAATCCATACTGAAGGCTGTAGTCTTTATCTTCATCAGTAAATATCTTAAGTCCTTTTTGTTTCCAGCAAGCACGGTTGTATCATCTACATATTGTAGGTTAATGAGTCTTGTTCCTCCAATCCTGATGCCACATTCTTCTTCATATAATCCAGCTTCTCAGATTATTTGTTCAGCATCCAGATTGAATTAGTATGATGAAATGGCACACACCTTTCCTGATTTTAAACCATTCAGTATCCACTTGTTCTGTGGTAATAACAGTTGCCTCTTGGTCTGTATATAGATTCATCATGCGCACAATTAAGTATTCTGAAATATCCATCATTCACAATATTACCCATAGTTTGTCATGATCCACATAGTCAAAAGCCTTCGCATAGTCAATAAATTACAAGTAAACATCTTTTAATATTCTCTGCTTTCACCCAAGATACATCTTACATCAGCATTGATATCCTTCATTCCAGGTCCTCTTGTAAATCCAGCTTAAATTTCTAGCAGCTCCCTGTTGAAGTACTGGTGCAACCATTTAAAAATTGTCTTCACATGGAATGAGAAAGGTTGTGGGCTGGTGAGCAGGAGGCTGGCTTGCAAAATGCCCTTTGGTCACTTAAATGAATATAAATTTTCCATGTGTTTTGTGTACATCAAAAAAAAAAAAAAAAAAAGAAGAGGGAACAGCAGACACAAATACAGTTGACTGGAGGGGATTGTAATCAAACAAAATATGATTGGTTAGGTGTAAAACTGATGATCTGCCCTGTAAACTATCACTCAATTCACAATAAAAACTTTTAAAAAATTTAAAAAAAAAATTGTCTTCAGCAAAATTTTACATGTATGTGATATTAATGACATTGTTCAATGATTTCTGCATTCCGTTGGGTCACCTCTTTTTGGAATGGCACAAAAACGGATCTCTTCCATTCAGTTTGCCAGACAGCTATTAGCCTGGTTAATTCCTATTTACTCTTCATATTTCTTAAATATCACCTCTTCTGGAAGACGTCCGTGACCCTGTAGGACTGCGTTCAGGTGCCCCTATGATGTGCTCCTTGTTGTCATTGCTCATTGGACTATGAACTCTAAAAGGCTAGATACAACATTGCTCTGCTTGTATCTCCAGCAGTGAGCACAGTGCTTGGCACATGTTGTTGTTGTTATGTGCCGTGGAGTCAGTTCCGACTCATAGCGACCCTGCACAGGGTTTCCGAGGCTGTTAATCTTTATAAGAGCAGAATGCCTCATCTTTCTCCCGCGGAACCGCTGGTAGTTTCGAACTGCTGACCTTATGGTTCGCAGCCCGATTCGTAACCACGTAGGTGTCAATAAATATTTGTTATACTATCAAGTCATCCCCCTGCCTTGTCCCTGCCCACTGTGTCTCAGCACTAGTACTAGGCTCAGTAACTCGGGCCCAGGACTCACCTGAAGTTTCTTATGAGGCAACTGCCGAGGCAGGATTCGGTAGGGCATCTTTAGAGCTTCATACACAGCTTCACACTGCAGGCTAAATGACTGGTGCTTCCGCTATGGGTGGGGGACAAGGTAGTCAGGGCAGCCCCTCCTAGAATCTAGGGGACACTGGGCTCTCCATGAGCTGGCTGACGTTGTCAGTTTCCCTACTTTTGATTCATTCTCTTCTGGATTGCTTTCTATGGACCTTATATGAGATAATAAACATGTAATTGTAACTAAATAATGTATAATTAGATGAGTTCATGTTCAATAAAAACTTTTCAGTTGTTAATGTGAAGTAGGTACCCAGACAATGCCTGGTCTTTAGTATGCAATCAATAAATAGGTGCTTTTACTATTCCTATGTCTGCTTGCCTTTCCATTGTGGACTCTTCTTCCATCTCTGTTTTTCTATGATTCTTTGCATGTTGTCCCTCCTGCTCTCCCTCTTTCTTTGAATGGGCCAGGCAAGGGAAGAGGTCACTCCCAGTGTGACCACTAGGTGGCGCCAAGGACACACAGCCCAGTCTACACACAAGAGAAGGGAGGGGAGCTAGTTCCCATTCACTAAGGGAGAAGTGGCTAGGGCCAGGGAAAGAGGGAAGTCAGCTCAATCAGGGCCGATGGTCTGGTTTCAGGGCTGAGGTTAAGTCCCCCTCACCAGCAAGAAGGTCTTGGTCCAGACTCGAAAATGAAGTTGTAGACTTCGGCTCTCTTGCCGGTGTAGTGGTCCCAACTCACAGCGCATCTGGAAGCACTCAGCCTCTGGACATTTCTGAGAAGAAAGGGGAAACTTGCACCGGCTTCCACCCTTGGTTGGGGGCTCTGAGAACCCAAACAAGTCTTAATGCCTGGATACAAACCTCATTCCTAACACAACTTACCAGGATCTGAGGCCCCACAGATCCAGGTCCCCGACCTGGAGCCTCCCGTCTTTGTAGTTGGTGGTACTGGGAACCCTCAGGCTCCAACTAGAAGAGACAAGAGATGGTCAGCGGCATTTCATACGTACCTCAATACAGCTTCTACATCAGCATGCGTCGCAGAACATCTTCAGCTTACCCTTTTACCCATCTCTTCATTGATCCAACCCATTACTTCCTTTGTGCAAGGCATTGAGCTCAGCATTGAAATGTGGCAATGAATAAATCATAGGCCCTGGACAAAGAGCCAGATAGGTACATAAATAATTAGACCTTTGTTCCCACCTCAGGGCCTTTGCACTGGCTCTCCCCTCTGCTTGGGATGCGCTTCACAGGTAAGCTCATCTTTATCTTTCGGGCCACAGTTTAACTGTTACCTCCTCAAGAGGTTATCCCTGACCACTCACCTGAAACAGCCCCTAGTTCTTCCACCATACATCAGCACAGCAAGCCCATGACTTTTCACTACTAGTTAACTGCTCCAATTTTCTATTGTCTTTCTCCTTCC